CGAAAGGAGGAAAGGAGGAGGATAAAAAGGGAACGCAGTAGTACTATGTAAAATGGCAGGAAGCCAGTCATGCCGTTAGGGATTAGAGACGACCCCCCCCCCCAAAAGTACATCCTCTTGTGCGACTCCTTTCCCTCATCCCACCCACAATCTCCCTAACTTTTCCCTTTCTCCCAAAGTTCTCGCACTTTTCCCGAGTCCCCGAGTCGTAGTTTTTCCCAAAAAAATTAACTATCATTGAAGAGGGTGAAGGGTATATAACACGTGGAACAGTGAAACAGATTAAACCAAGAAAACATAATTTTTCACAAAGATAACTACGACCGTTTTCACTTCAGCGATCAAATACGACCCCCTCGCTGGGGATCCCCAAGGTGCGACGTGCCATGGAAGCATAGCCTAAACGTTGTGAAAAAGCGCGCTTCTAGGCTAACTATTAGCAACTACTGCAGGACATTCGAAGGTACATACACTCCTTATCCCTGAGATGGAGTAGGCGTGGCATTCGAACATGGCGTAGGATTGGCCACTCGTGAGGTATTTCGATTTGGTACGACTACCATTTTAATCTGTGTTGGACAAAGACATGATTACAACTGTCTCAATATGAAAATACCTCACGGAAAGCTTAGCCGCCTCCACGTTCAACATAAGTACGCAGCCACGCCTACCGCATCTCAGGGATTTCGAGTGTACAACACTAGCCATGTGGGCGGGGCCACTTTCGCTATGTTGGCAAAAAGGGAGAGTGAATCAATGAGGAAATTAAAACGGTCTCACAACTACTGGTTTCCCTCAAAAGGTCACGCGGAATATGCCCTGAACGGAGCAGATAGCAATTATTTTTATTTTGGGCATACTTTAGAGTGATATGAGAGATGTTTATTAGAACGGAAAATGGTGCAGTGGTTTGAGCAAGTTTGTTCTGGATTACATTCTACTTCCCTACAAAATGGAGAAATCATTATTCGACCTGTACTTACGGGAACTAGCCGATGTACAAGCCAACGGTTTTGCCTTCAAGTTTTGCCAACTGTCCACAAGTTTGGTGCTAATTCAGCATGCGAAAAAGCAAAGCTCAAAATTGTTATTACTGAAGCTGAACGGGGCGTGTTATCGGGTCGCTGGAGTTGGTGGTTAGCAAAGCGAGCTGGCGCGCCTCGCAAATACCTACGCCCCCGATAAAACGCCCACGACTGGATTCAGTGAATAACGGACTGTACCCTTCAGGAAAGAGAATCAACATACATTTGTCACTAGGCTAATCCTCATCCAGTAATCAGTCAAAACAAAGTCAGGATAAATTAAGCGCTGTGCGAACTCACGTAAAAAGATGTATTCTAGCCAAATTCATGATACGATATGGCAATAAACTGCAAGATGTCCAGGCTGTGGTGGCAAAGATGAAGACTAACGATTTGACCTGTTGAATGACGGAATCTTACAAGCTGAAAATCAAGGAAAATAATAGTGATCAAGAACATCACCTTGTTTTTGAATGCTGCATGTTCCTCCACCACTTCCAGCATTTTCGTTTTTGTCGTGTTAAATTGAATAGATATATGGAGACGATTAATGAAGACGTTACTGGCAGCACACAGAACAGTATGAGAAATATTTCGTAGTAGAACTTTTTACCCGGCGACATGTAAAATTAAAATATTTACTAGATGCACACGACTCACATCAGGATTAAACAAAGTGTAAGAGAAGGAGTAAATATTTCTCGCTTACACGCCTCAACAACTGGTGGAAAACGCGCTGGCGGCGACCAAGCCCAGCCGCCCTGACACGCCCCATCGTCCACAGCGAACAAGGTTGTATAATGGAGATGTTGAGGCCGGACATCGAATGGAGGGTCATAGCTGGAGGCCAGGGAGGTAGTTGGTTTTGGAAGAATTTTTTTGGATTATTAGCTTGTCCCATTTCACGCGGGCCAGAAACTCCCTGGTCGGCGGCCTCCCAAAATCACATACTATTCCTGAAGGGGGGGGGGGGGAGCTTGGGCTATTCAGCCCACAGGATATTTTGGGAAAACTCGCTAGGGAAGGGATGCGTTCAGGGCCAAAGCGGAGCAACCTTTGAGATCTTGTACCGGATTACTTGTACAAGGAAAAGTACTTGTACTCATCGAGTATACTCGAAGAGTCGAAGAACCCAAGGAACCTCGAAGTTCAGAGTTCAAAGAACCTGGAAAATTACTCCTAGCGTATATTGCAGCTAGCGTAGCGCTACCGGTCCCTCTTTTGAGCTATGTACCACTTCCGGGCCCTCTCAGGGCAGTAGAAAAGGAAATTGATCGGACCATGCCGGGCGAAAGCCAAATTATGCGGTTTCAATATGACAAGATTGAGTAGCCCAGGGATATACTGTCTTATTCGCTGCTTATGAAGGGGACGTCACTGAGGCTGTGTTTGGCGCACCGCCAACCATTTCTCCACCAGTTGTTGAATCAGGGTGAGCGACAACAACTGTTGGAAAACGACTGACAACAACGATGCGATAGTCTTTTCTCGCTAAAAGAAGAAAAAAAAGAAAAAACGGACTGGCGCCGTGCCCAACCCATCCATGCTCGAAACGCCCTATAATCAACAAGACTGTTAAAAAAGCAGTGAAATGGAAGTTCAAAACTCATCTGAAGAGAGCAATCAAACGAATGGATATAAACAATGTTGAAGAGCCAACAGTACGATATGAACCTAAATCGAGGCATTAATAAAAAAGGATGGCTCTGCTCTGGTAAACATTTTCGAGACACGCAACTCTTCATACCGTCCATATCAAGACATTGGAGCGGGCGTGAGTACATTCGGACTTTACAGCAGGAGTGAGTTTTATAGCCGGTGCCGCAAAACCGTACAGCAGAAAGCAGAAAGTATGGATGGGATGAGGGAAAAGAAAATTTTCTTGTGCATTTTGTATTTTCTTGCGATGTCGTACGTGAACCCTTCCACCACCGTCGCGCTCACAACCATTTCCGTGAGCACGCCCTCTGCTAGGTGACATGATATGAACTGTAACTGTGACATTCCAGATTCCAGGAATAAGGAGGATTCTCCGATATAAGGGATAATGTATACAGAAACAATGATTATCCAAAAACCTCACCCAACAGACAGTCCCCAGATGAGGAGGCAAAATAAAGCAGCTCTACGTTTCGACATTGATCTGTCATAATTGAGTGGCCAACGGAAGTAAATTAACTGAAAATCGTTAATTAGTCATTACTGAGGTATGCTGAAGCCTCGAGGTATACTCCAAGCAAACGCCATAATTGGCTGGGCATGACCTACTCCAGCGGTGCAGTTGAATGTGTTTGACGCAGATAGAGTTGATATCGTCTGAATCAGTCGGGGCAGTGTAAGGAAAGGCGGATTGGGACCGCGGCCGGATGCCTTCCTCCACCTGCAGCGATCGGCAAGTGGTCGATTCAGGAAGAAAACAAATAATGGTAGAAATCGCGGAGAAAGGCCTCGTTTCATGCTTCGTGACCCCGCCCCGACTGATTGTGACGATATCGATTGCATAACGATTTTCCACCCAAATTGCTCTTAAACTTCGCTTAGATTGCCACATGGCCGATTGCCAATTGCAAAGTGTTTTATTGTAATCTCTCGCACGTATATACGCAAGCACCAGTGCCTCCAGAAAAGCGCGTTTATCGAATGAAAGACTGTTCTGAATTTGCTTCGTACATATACTCTCAATATCCCAAAGATGGAGTGGGCGTGGCTGCTTACTACGCTAAGTATGACGTAGGATATATTTCTTGTGGGATGTCTCTGGTTGAGAACTGTTATTCTATCTCGTGCTGAACAAAGAGATATTACAAAACGAAAGGATCACAGCAGAGGCGCAGCCATTGCTTACCTTCAAACGAAGTAGGCAGCCACACCCACCTCGTATCAGGGATATCAAGCACACCACCGCGAACATGGACAGGAAATACATCCCTATTATGTTACCCAACTTTACAGGTCATTCACTCATAGTGACCGAAACTCTTAAAAAAAACATGGGTTAATCTGTAGAAATAGGCGGAGTCATATCAAGGGAAAGAGCCCTGGGCGATCAGCCAATGAGAGGAGCATGGCACGCGTATAGAGAGCTGTTCAGTGGCTAAGCGCATCAGTTCGCATCGGAAGCGTCGCCCACACTCAGCATAACTTCCTTCTTAATACTGTCACAAAAAAATTGACATAAAGTATACCTTATCAATATTAAGCATTGTAAGTGACAATCCGGAGACTGCTAATCCCGTCCAGTTGAAATAATGAACTACAGCACATAAGTGAATTTGTTGAAGAAAATCATGTTTCCGTATAAGTAATTCGTTCGGATGACAAAATACTGTAATGAGTCGTTCCTTCCAGCAAAAAAAAGACACAACACGGAAAAAGTCGGATATTACCAGTTAAAATAAGATCGCCGACAGTCATATTCAGAATAAACAGATGCATAGTGTCACCACTTCGTTTGAATAGTTTTACGGCACAAAATATGACCATAACATTGAATACGGTAGCTGCCATGCTAGCCGCCAGAAGAAGGTCATCTGTCTGAATAAGAGAGATGAAAAAAAGAAAAGGAAAATTATCTGCATAGATTCTGGCTTGCGCATGCTTCTATTCTAGAATCTATAAATTTCCAGAGAAGGAGGTGGTGCAGCGGCAAGTGAGCCACTTGCCAAGGGCTGTCCGGGATCAAAACCCGGAATGGGCTACTGCCCAAGCCAATCCAATCCTCTACCCTACGGGACGATCAGTCGGTACCGGACACCCTGCACATTCTCAGCTTCTCAGCGAGTCAGGAAACAATCACGACCGCCTTTATTGTGGTCTTAAGGAGGGTCTACGGACAACTAAGACTCATTCCTTTAATGGCGCCAACTTTCTGATTTTCTCTGCGCTCTCTTTCCTGAATGGCGATTTATGGCTTTTTTTACCTTTCACATTCCAACTTTTCACGCATACTAAGTGGCTCATTCATCCCGGTGTCCTCCCTTAGTGCTCTGCGCTCTGGCCTATCCTGGCAGGACCCCCACCAAAAGTTTTAGTTGTCACGTAACCCTTGAAGAGGTGTGCCTTCACACTGATGAAGAGTATATTGAGTATTTGAAGGTGGTCAGCAAATTCATCGCCCACGGTAGCTACCGTAACCTAGGGCGACACAGAGTTTTTCTTTTGCAAAAAAATGGGCGCCGTTGAATATGTTATGGAGTGGCCAATTAATCATCCATATTGAAAGTGACGAGACAGTCGTGCTGTGCAAAAATTGCACTGGCGCCAGAAGAAACAAGATGATTGGTCACGTGACCATATAATCAATCACTACTTACGGTATTTTCACAGGACGGAACGATCCTCAGCGGCAACAACAAGTTCTACTGGTTGTTTGCCCCTATCCCTGGCAGCAACTAACTAGAAACACGTCTTTGACCAACAAAAGTTGTAGACATTGAACCCAAGGATCCAGGTTTCAGTCTATAGGGGGATGAAAACACGGGCAGAGACGCTGTACGTACGCACGTGGCTGTTAAATTGAGTAGAACTACCACGTGACAACTTAGTAACAGTGCCTAACTCGACTCAGTTAGTTGGTGTCAGCAAAGCGCTACTTACTATTCTTTCGCTCAGAGGCAAACTGTACCCTCACCTATGAGAACGGTCTTTTCCATGTGCGAGGCGAAAAGGTGCGCACCTGAAATAGCGGGCCAGTTTCCCCGCTCCGCGCGCGATGCGCTTGCCCCCGTTCCCGCTAAAAGTGCAACCGGGCTTCAGGGCCAAGCTATACGCCTGCGCTACTTCCAATGTGCAGCAATTGTGCCAATACCAAGATCCCCAGCGAAACACGTGCTAATGGTGAGTGGTAAGTGGTACAGAACAAGGAGAAGCGATAGGGCGCAGACAAGCATTGGTTATGGTTAGGCGTGTAACTGGCTGTGCGGCAGCGCGGCGAAGATTGGAGATGCCACCTTGGTCTCATTACTTTCCAGCCCGTTCCCGTGCACTATGGACCGGAGATAGTGGCGCTACTGCAGCCGCAGACCTTCTACCCCGCACATGACAAGACCCACGGTCTAGGTATGTGTACGCTTTGTCTTGCTATAGATTGATAGCGAACACGGTCTAGGTTGGTCCTCTAGCAGGTTTTTCCCCGATTTTCCGCATAACGCTGAGAAATTGAAGGCAAAGCCCTCGATCATTCGCTATCACAAATAAAGGGATTAGGGGTTTATGTATAGACGACGAGATGCTGAGAAAATTGATAGTGAAGAAAAAAAGCAGAAAAAGCTGCCCAGTAGAGAACCTTATTTCGATCCCAGTTTGTGCCTGCCCAGGAAACTCCATCTCCAGCACTACGCCTTCATCGGCACAGCTGATTCCCCGGTAACCCGACCGTACAAGCGACGGTTTTCATGCTTTTTCGTCCTGCAGCTTCGTTTTCCACTGAAGGTGGGCCTTGAAGTCTGGAGGCGGATCACTGGAAAAAAGGAGGCGTCACTGAACCTATATTGCGCTATAGCGCCCCTCCCTTACAATTTTTTGCCGCGAAACCGGTACAAGGTTGTTCTTCGTGGAACACACTACCCTCACGACGCCATATTTTCGCCTTCTACACCTAATCGCCTCTAAGTAAACTATAAACAGGCCATATGCCAAGGCGTATATGGTATGGACCTGAACTGCTTACCGGACTCTTTGTTTTCAAAAAAAATGGAAGCCTCAAACAAAAGTCACAGCTCTAGCTGATTCTTAGGGCAGAGACCTATAGAAATTATGCCTTTCGCACTGATGCACCCTTTTAACAGGGTGTTATATGACCAGTAAAGAACGCATGATGAAAGTTTCCTCCACCATATTTCCCTCCCACGAGTCATCCCCCGATAAAGGTGAATGTGTCCTGGGGCGCGGTAGCTCCTATTTCTAGTTACCATGAGCGCCAAGAGGAGTGCTTCGCCAGCTACAGTTTTGGTCGCTGCGGATGATGGGGCGTGTCAGTGATGGTGTGCTTGGCGCGTCGCCAATGCATTCTCCACCAGTTGTTGAAGCGGCTAAGCGACAGCAACTGGTGGAAAATGATGATTCGAACGACATACGTGTGGTGCTGCCGCCAGCTGAGAGAAAAAAAGAGGACTGACACCGTGCCACATACCGTTCTCCTGACAAGCCCCCTTCATCCGCGGCGAACAAGACTTCATGAAGCTAGCTTCACTTTGAGCTCTTCGAATTCTGAAGCTTGAAACAAAGTCAAAAAAAACGTATGAAATAATGAACTCAACCGTGTACATAAATATCAAAAACACTTGATCATTATAGCACTCCTGTACAGCTTGAGCCGTTGAACTGGACGATAACGGTTGGGAAACGTTTTCGCCTTCATTATCGACTTCTTTCATCAACTCCATTGTCGTCCTAGTACCATTCGTACAACTAGAAGAAATGTATAGGAATCGATTTATCGATTAAGCAAATTCTATTTGCTTGCGCATGAAGACATGAAAGGTTACTGTGGGTGGTTTGCACAGTTCCACGTCTGACTCCATGCTGTTTGTCTTGTATTTCATGTAAAGCACGTTTTTTACTTACATATCTTTCGTCATTAGAAAGTAAAGTGCAAAGGTGATGAATAGGCTTAATTCCTAAATGGAAATGGGCTCAATTTCGGGCCAACTGAATTGTTGGGACGGGACCTTTTACTCCGGGTTATTTTTCTCCAAGGAAACTTCGAACTAGCTTCGCCTCTGAGTACTTTACAGACTACTTTTTCTTGAAAAAACTATCTTTTTCGTCATCACATTGGAAGCGTTTTGACATACGCTGATATTGTAGCAATCAGTCCGGGCGAAGTCAAAAGGCATGGAACGAGCTGACCCGCGGCCTTCTCTACCATTGGTTGCTGTCTTCCTGAATCGATTGCTAACCGATCATTATTGGTAGAGCATGGCAGATGGAGGCGTCTCATTCCGCCACTGCTGACACCGCCCCGATTGACTGCGGCGACATCAACTATGGGAGCGGAGTTATCCCCAACTTTTAGGGCAAGTTGCGGCTACATACATGTGTGAATGTGAATGACTCGTCCAAAAAAGTCTGATCGCATCATTTGCCTAACTTTACTTTCAACTCGGGAACGCTTTCACACTGAAGACCATCCTGTTACGTGAAAAAGCGCTCTCTTTAGTGCATATCAGGAGCTAAAATTCGTCACGTGGGCAACGGCGGGCCTGTCACTGTTTCCTTGTCGATGGCGCTCCTATCATCTGCTCGGAAGGAGAAGCCATGTTGTATGTGAAAGGTGTAGTAATGGGCCTGGCTCAGCCCCATATGGCGAGAGTAGAAGGTGCCGCCGATAAAACCGCCCTACAAAGTGAAACTAGGCTACAGTAGTTTCAATCAGAAGTACTATACTAGTTGATCCAATTCCAAAAACATATGGGTGGGCTCTTTGAGGTAACGCATTCCTATCTGTAGCGATACAAACACCCTCTTGAGAAGGGCTGCATTCATTTGGAAGCAAGTGAAATCAGTTATAATTTAGGCCACAGCTGCCGCTTATAGAAGGACATGCGTTGCGCATCGGTGCAGAAAAAGTAAGGACAAATCGCAGTTCACTCCCAGGAACGGTCGTTTCCATGTGTGAAGTGAATAGACCCTCAGCTGGAGCAACGTGCGACTTTCACCGATCAGAAGTGCGCGCGAACGAGGGTGCAAGGGGTGCAAGGTAGTGATGCCTGGATGCGAGTCCATACTCGTTCGCGCTATCCTCGAGGTACAGCACTTGCCCAGAAACTCCAAGGTCCCAAAGCGAACCCATACTCAGCAGCAGAGACGAACCAGAGTTGAGAAGGTGCACAGAGGTAGCGCGTTTGATCACGATTATGCGGGTGCTGGCCTCGCGGCAGCGCGAAACGGAGTACGGGTCGGCACAGTGTATCGTTACCCTTCAGCATCGTTCTGTACAGTTTCGAGCGGAGCATGCGGCATGCTACTGCAGACTTATTTACCTCACACGTGGCAAGGATCAGGGTCCACGGAGCTGAGTATACAGTTTCACTTCAAAGTTAGAAGCATGCGGATAATCGGAGGAAGCGCCGCCCCATGGTAAAGAACATGTGAAAAACTAACGTTTTGTCATCTAAAAGCAAAAGATGGACTGTCAACAAGCCACGCTAAGCCGGGAGGTGTCCTTCAAGATTTTTACGAAATTTTGTTTTCTTCAAAGAATTCCCAATTAGGAGAAAATGGCTGAGGTTATGCAGTTTCGTAAGTAGGTAAAGTTTCGTTCCCTGCCTACCATCATACGAAACCTTGCTGGTCTAAAAATGAGGAATAGTTCGGTACAAATCAGAGAAATCTAGAACACTTTGGAACTGCACTATTTTCTAGGGTATAAGGCGCTCGCAGGGAGTGCGGACGCGACCCGCGGGGGCGGGCGGCGGGGCGGGGGAAACATCTTGTCTACACCTAACCCAACAACTTTCTCTATTTTTGGGATTGCTTCAATCGCTCCAGTGACCTTCGCCCGAGTAGCTCTTTACTTTAATAGTAGAACACGGATGACATAGCGGAACAAATGGAGATAACACATAAAACACAAATCGGATGGGGCGGGGGGGGGAGTGAGGAACGAAAACATACATAAAATAAAGGTGCGCGCCTGTGGGGGGTATACCGATGATAAATGCGCCTTATACCCCAGAAAAGGGTATATCGTTCGAGTTGTTAACCAAAATGTGAGCTACTGACCCTTTCCAGAAAAAGCTCCTATGAGGGTGACACTACTTGTGCCCTCAATAAAACGGTAATGGTAACTTCACGGGGAAGCCTTGGATTACAGTAGGGGAGACGAACTGCTAACTAGCAAACTTTCCAGCGGGAGGTTAATTGCTATGAAAATGTGAAATGAAAGCTGATCGTTCTAGGGAGATCCACGGCGGGGGGGCGGAGCGGGGGGGGGGGCTGGAGTTGGATGTATACGAACTAGGCGAGATCATGAACGAATAGCGCTGGGTGCTGAGAAAGTCGGGCGAAGACGACGACGAAAATCGTTGATGGCTGTGATAACTTGGCTGCAATTATGCATCCACCAAACCATGATATCAGCTAATTTTCTGCCACACATCATCAAATATTCAGCCCCAGTGGCACGACTGTCCTATTTGACTGTTGTATGGCTTACAATTTGGTAAAGGGCTCAAAAATCACGAAAAGAACCTGCACAGAATTGCAGTACCAGCAAGAGTTCGAGTTATAGCAAGAAGCTTCCCTTTGGCATTATCTACATATCCTCTGCTTTCTAAGGCTGCATTTTTGTGCCAGGGTGGTCCAGACCTATGCCAGATAACTCAAAATTGCCTTCCATTAGTAATCAAGTAGAACGTGGTTTATGTATTGAAAAATTTCTGAAATTATCAGCAACTATGTGAAAGTCACAATTTCTGCCACTTGTGCCAAACTGTTAATTGCACACTAATTCCATCAAGTTATAATAAGGAAGCAAATGCGTTAAGCAGTAATGTAATGTATTGTAGTGAGGAGAAGATAGTAAGTAACGATCGGGTAACATAAACAACGAATCGGGTGCTACCGTGAAGTAGTGAATTAACGATCTTCAGCTGAACAGAGGGACTTCCGGTTGACAGCAAAGACAGTGTCCAAATACACGATGACAGACGATAATTCGATTACGCATGTAAAAGAAATTGACGGATGCGTGGCGGGTTTCGCACGCTCACTCATTTCTGCTCATATATAAACTTTATAGTTGTAAGTTCTGTCTATCAGTACTGTAGTAATCTATCCGTAACATAAAAGAATAAACCTTTCGCCGTTAACCCCTTTCTGGGGTGCTGCACACATTCTACATCCATTCGAAATCGTAATGACATTAGTGGCATATCGAACTTAGCGGAGGGGGAGGGTAGAGGGGGGAGGGTGGAGTCGATTTACTGATCGGTGGTTTTATCCACTAATAGGAGTCTGGCGTCAACCAATGAATTGCTAACGTTTGATTGGTCCAGGTAGTGATCTCAGGACCGTGCGGGTGGTTACGGACGTTATGAACCCCTACGCTAGCTCCACATGTATTCACATCATAATAGGATAAACTGTAACACTGCCACCGTTGAAGAATCCCTCTTTGGGATGCGCTGTGCATTGTACTTCCATTTAGAATGTAGTAGCCTGTTGAATGCGACATGGCGCATACAATGACGTGAGGGGCCAGCTGATACACAAGTCGGTCTTCTCATATTCCCAGACGAATGTGCTGCTAACCCACCGTCCCCAGGGGCAGAAGTTTTGTTTGGTATGAGCGGGAGACGACCCGAGATTTGGTCGTCGGACCAAGCGCGTGGTAAGCGGGCTGCCTGTCACCACCCCCTCCCCCCTGAATCAATTAATGGTTAAATTCAAATTGTTATAAATCGTGCTCATAAAACAGAGTTGGTAAAGTTGTATACTCCTGCTTTCTACGGAGGCGTGGGCGATTCAGGTGGCTGGGTTTGGCATGAAGCACCCTGCCAACTTTCACAATTGCTAACACCAACCCCCTGAAACGCGCCAGGGTCCGCAGCCCAGGGCACATCATTGCTTGGGGATTTTAGTCGAGTCTGAACGAATCTCCCTCTTTTTTGGGGGTTGGTACG